CTTTCTCTCTCCTACCTAGTGTTGGGGTGTTGGAACACTAGGTAGGAGAGAGAAAGTGGAGTAGGGAGAAAAGGGTATAAAAGAAATGTAAATAAGAGTTTGAAAACATATGCCAACGATATTCTTTAGCTCATAAACACCCAGTGCTTGGTGTAGAAATCTCAACTAGAGATGTGATATGATAGTCAACAGTTCATGGTCATTCCAATGATGTTAAAATCCAGACCAGACTTCTGCTGAGGCTGTAGTGCCTGAAGCAGCCCCTCCCCTCTCCCAGATACTGATACTCACCCCACTGACCCTGCCACCAGTGAACAACTAGCCCATAGATCTCTAGATGCCCAGGCTTCTCATCCAGGGAAGTAAGTTTACATCAAAGGAGGTATTGGTGCACACACATCCCACTCCACATTCCCTGCCTCCTTCGGGAACCAGAGTTTCAGAATCAGGCTGCGAGCTGCATTCCTTTCTCAGAGAGCTGTATGAAGGGATCCCATCTCTGCCATGTGGGCCTGATTCGTCTCTTTAGAGACCTTGCCGTGCTTTCTGTCTCTGCCGCTGGGGCCTGAGCTCTCCTCAGAGCCTTTCTTACACTATCTGTCTCCCCATTTAATAGCCCCATTATTAAATGTTTCACGTGTGGATTTTAAGAGGGACACTGAGACTGATTATTGGGGCTGGGAGCTTATTAGAAGAGCTACCAATGCCACGGGCAAACAATGACATGTTTGAGCATGGTGAATTACCCAGGAGGAGTAAACCGAGAGAGAAGTACAGACATGAAAGTCAGACAGGCGGGGTGGCGCACACCCACAGTCCCAGCACTTAGGAGGGAGGCAGAGGCAGGTGGATGTTTGTGGGTTCTAGGATAGCCTAGTCTATTCTAGTGAGTTCCAGGTCAACCTGGACTACGAAATGAGGCCATGTCTCAAAAACAAACCTAAACCCTACAAAAGAAAAAGAAATAATCAGAGACTCCAACAATGAAAAGGCCACGTAGGGAGAAATGGCCCCAAAGAAATAAAATGACTTGCCCCTTTCTCCTTGACTCCCTGTGTACCACATGCATGCCTGATGTTAGAGAAGGTCATAAGATGTCCTAGGACTGGAGTCACAGACGGCTGTCAGCCACCTTGGACTTGGGAATGAAACCCAGGTCCTCTGGAAAGGAGCCACGCTTAAACACTCAGTCGTCTCCCTGCCTCCGCTCTGAGTTTCCATTCTCCTTCTGCAACTACACAAGTTTAGAGCTGTGCTCCATTACTCTAGTGTAAGTGGTATTGGAGCTCAAAAACAGGGTCTCTGGCATGTCAAGCAAGCACTCTGCTAACAGCTATATCCCTGGCCTGAGCCTCATTTCCTTCCTTCTTGTTTATTTATTGTATTATTACATTTCTTTTTTGTGGCAGAATCTACGTATCCCTGGCTGGCCTGAGATTACAGAAATCTATAGGCCGTGGCCTCCTAAGGGCTCTGATTAAAGTTGTGTGTCACCTTGCCTGTCTTTTTGAAATTACATTAATCTGTATAGATATGTGTCTGTGTGTCTGCCATGTGTGTGCACAACCCCATAGGGACCAGCATTGGAATACTGGAGCTGTAGTTACAGGTGACTGTGAACAGTGTGATTTGGGAGCTGGGAACTGAACTCGGGTCCTCTGGAAGAGAAACCAGTGCTCTTAACCACTGAGCCATCTCTCCAGCCTCCTAAGATTTGTTTGTTCACTTATTCACCAAATCTCACATCTTCGAAGATAATTTCTGTTTTCTTCAGTTCTTTAAGTACGTCTTTGTCTTTTTATATACAGAGCATTGATACAGAAATGGGTATGATACATTTATTTTATCATATAGCTTGGACTTTGAGCTATCTGAACCTCATTCTTGAAAGTTTTAGTTAAGTCACCTAACGTTGCTCTGTCCCCTTTCCTTCCCTTCTGAAACTCTAATTAGCTCAGTGATTCTCAACCTTCCTAATGCAGTGACCCTTTAGTTCCTCATGTTGTGGTGATCCCCAGCCACAAAATATTTTTTTAAGATTTATTTATTTATTTATTATGTATACAGTGTTCTACCTGCCTGTGTGTCAGAAGAGGGCACCAGATCTCATTATAGATGGTTGTGAGCCATCATATAGGTGCTGAGAATTGAACTCAGGTCCTCTGGAAGAACAGCCAGTGCTCTTACCCTCAGAGCCATTTCTCCAGGCCACCAAAAAATTATTTTTGTTGCTACTTCATAACTGTAATTTTGCTACTGTTGTGGATCACAATGTAAATAGACAACCCACAAAAGGGTTATGACCCACAGGTTGAGAACCACTGAATTAGACACATACCAGTAAGGAGTTACTCAGTAACAGATACAGGATACGCGTATATTAGCCCACACTCAGGTGACCCTTTATATGCCAGGCATTACGGAAAGTGCTTTATATTCATTTGTTCAGCCATCACACACAAATCCCGTAAAGTAGGAACTGGCATTCTTCCCAGAATTTCTTATAGATAAGAAGTAGAAAAGTAGGGGAAAAAAAATCACTTGCCAAAGGTCACAGAGATAGTAAATAGGAGCAACAGGACATGAGCCCGGATAACCTGGTCCCACGGTCCCAGCCCTACTGCTGTGAGACCTCACTGCAGAGTCTTCTCTGTCTTTAGTGCTTTCAGGTTTTTGTTGGTTTGTTTTCTGGTCTGGGCTTTTTTTTGTTGTTGTTAATTGTTTATTCACGTCTGTATAAGCCAAGCACGGTTTTGCAGACCATGGATTTTGTTTGTGTAACCTGGTCCTATTTGTTCCTTTGGATAGTAGGTTTATTGACTCTATAGGAGGGGTACAAATGTTGTCTATAACTTGCTAATCTGATTTTTTGTTGTAAATGTTAGACAAGAGGGCTGGCTTACTCATAATATACTTTATAATAATCATTGGAACTACCGCACTCCTATGTCAGAACGCCACAGCTTGTTTTGTTTTTATATTTACATACTTATGTTTCCGTTTGTTTTCATTGTTTTGTGACGGGGTCTCATTGTGAAGCCCCGTTTTTTATTTAAAAAGAAAAGAAAGCATTCTTAAGGGTTGGGGAGAGAGTTCAGCAGTTAAGAGCGCTTGTTTGTGCACAAGGCCCAGGCTCAGTTCCCGGCACACTTACGGTGGCTCACAGCCATCTGTAACTCCAGATCCAGGAGGCCTCTGGGGGTACAGACATGTGTGTGGTGTATGAACATACATGTAAGCAAAACGTTCTTATATATGCATATATATAATAAAATAAATAAAGCTGAAAACATTCTTTCACAATTTCAAACATACATGCACACATGCATACACACTGTACTTCATCATTTCCCCTTCTACCTTCTTCCTTTTTACGATACTTTATACAGCTGGAGTCTGCTCAGGACATCTGAAGCCATAAAGAAAGAAAGGGTTAGTAAATATTTCCTAGTATTCCCTTTATTTATGTATTTACATTCTGTGTGTAAGTGTTTAGTGTATGTGTGTCTGTGCTTCATGTGTGTACAGTGCCTGTAGAGGCCAGAAGAGGCTGCCAGATGTCCTGGATCTGGAGTTACTGGTGGTTGTGAGGGGCCTGTGGGTACCTCGAATGAAACCTGGGTTCTTAGCAACAACAGCTAATGTTCTTAACCACTGAACAATGTCTTCAGCTCCCCTTTACCCTCTCTTATCCCCATCCCTACTCCACCAAAGTCCCCTTCTACTTTCATGCCATGTTTTTGTTGTTGTTGTTGTCATTGTTGTTATGTTTTGTTGGCCCACTGAATTTAATTAGGGTTGTCTGCATGAACCCGGATGGGAGGATATTTGCTTGAAAAAGAGCAACTTGCCAGTGGCCACCCCGCTGGGGAATATGGCTCCTCCTTCCCATAAACCATTAAGTCTCTAACTGCTCAGAGAGGGGTGAAGCATGATGAATGTGTATAGCCTGCCACTGCTGCTATGAGCCGTTCTATGTCCAGAAGACCATTTCACACCACCCCATCCCATCCTCCAGTTCCTACCTGATGTTCCCTGAGCCCGGGGATATCCCATTTAAGGCTGAGCTATATAGACACTATATAGTCACTTTTCTCAGCGCTTTGACTAGTTGTGAATCTGTGTTGCTGGTTATTTATTCTTTGATAATTTTATTCATAATGTATATTGATTAGAACCACCTCCATTCCTCACTATTATCCCCCTCCCACTCTGTCTGGAACTATCTTTCTTCCCCTCTCTCTTTCTCTCTACTTTCTTTTTGAGACAGAATCTCACTATACAGACCAGGCTGGCCTCAAACTCACAGAGATCCAGGTGCCTCTGCCTCCCAAGTGCTGGGATTAAAAGTGTGTGCTACTGAGCCAGGCTGCCCCGTGTTTGTGGTGAGGGTGATGGCCACAACTATGATGAACAAAGACATGATGGAGAGATAACAAAGATTAGAAAAATAAAATAAAACAAAACAGAGCAGTACATGCCTTGTGGAGAGAGAAAGAACTGGAGACACAATGGATGCTAAGACCGTGAGAACCAGGCTGATGTGAGCGGCCACCTGAGGCTATGATGGTGTCTACGATGCCACTGAGAGCCGTCTGAGTCCAAGGTCCTGCAGCTGGGGTCTGTGTCGATGTCTGTGATCTGGGCTGCCGCCTGAAGTCATGTTGATATCTGTTAGCAGTGCAACACACACACACACACACACACACACACACACACACACACACACCAAAACAAAAAAACAAAGACTATGAAACAGTTACCACATTTGAACTTTGGAATTTGGGGTACCCTGTTTTCCTGGCCCTTGTTCACTCATAATTGGTACTAATAATCCTTTGTCATCCCTTTTGCTTGTTAAATCTTTACCATATGAAAAAGCAGGAAGCAAAGCAGGTGAATTGCTTCTGGGTTACCTAGCAACTTAAGATGTCATCATGTGTCGCCAGCCAGGTGGCCACACCTGGAAGGCGTGGTTTCCTTGCTCCTTATAGGGAAAAACCGACAGTGGTCACAGTGGTCGCTCTCTTGCTCTTTGCTCTTGCTCTTCCTCCCTCTCTTTTCTCCCTCTCTCCCTCTCTTTCTCCCCATCATGTCTTGCTCTCCCTTACCCCCTTCCCTCCCTCCCTTCATATCCACCTAATAAACCTCTTGCATAGAAGATCAGTTGCCAGCCTCATCTTTAATTAATAGACCTAACAGAATGAGTTCAAAGTCCCATTTCCCAGCTGCTTCTGTCCCAGTTGTGTGCTGCAATCGTACTTACTAGAAAAACCCACTGAGTGCTTTCTCTTTTGCACCACTTCCTCTAACCTTCCTTCCTGATCAAGAAGTTTGGACCTTGAGAAACAGCTTTTCGAGAAAGAAACTTACTTCTTCGTTGTTGTTGTTCTTGGTTTTTCGAGACAGGGTTAGAAAGAGACTTACTTTTAAGATGACTTTTCTTCGTCCGTCAAGAGGAAGACAACTGGATTGCTTGGCCAGGTACCATGTTTGATCTGGGACCCGTTTATGAGAGAACTGACTCAAATATAACCTGTGGAGTCAGTGTAACATACTTGTATATATTGTTCAGGGTTAACCATTAGACAGTGGGCCTTTTGGTTATCCCTGGGAGGACCACCTCTTCTGCTTCCAGCTTTACTCCTCTGTTGTCTGTAGTTCTCTAAGTAGGGTTGAGGCTTCCCAGTCCCTGTGCAGATGGCATGTTTGTTCAGCTCATGTTTGGAACGTCATGTGGGTGAGACTTCATTAGTATAGATTCTGACATTACTAGAAGACACATTCTCACAGCGAATCCCCTGATCATCTGGCTCTTATAGTCTTTCCATCCCCTCTTCCATGATGTATTTATTTCTATGTCAAGTGTTTTGCATGCTTGTCTATAACGTATACCCTCCATATACTAGATACTCTAGGAGGCCAGAAGCAGATCCCCTATAACTGGAGGTACAGATGTGGGTTCTCAGAGTTAAACTCGGGTACTCTGAAGGAGTGACAAGTGCTCATAATTGTTGAGCACCCACAGCCCAGTGGGTAACTCAGAGCATATGAAATCCATCATTGTGTTTTGATTTTCTTTTTTAAAGACAAGGAGTCTCTTTGTAGCCCTGGCTGTCCTGAACTCACTTTGTAGACCAGGCTGGCCTTGAACTCATAGCAATCCATTTGCCTCTGCCTGTCTGAGTGCTGGGATTACAGGTGTGCACCACCAGGTCTGGCTTGTGTTTTGATTTTCAAAGAGATTAATAATTAGTTATTTGGCTGGGCAGTGGTGGCCCACGCCTTTAATCTCAGCATGTGGGAGGCAGAAGCAGGTGGATCTCTATGCATTGGAGACCAGTGTGGTCTACAAAGTGAATCCAAAACAGCCAAGGCTACACAGAGAAACTGTGTCTCAAAAAACAAACAAACAACAAACATACAAAACCATTAAATTGACCAGTGGTGGCACACACATTTTAATCCCAGCACTCGGGAGGCATGAGGCAGATGTATCTCTGAGTTCAAGGCCATCCTGTTCTACAGAGCAAGTTCCAGGCCAGCCAGCGCTATACAGAGAAACCCTGTCCCCCCAAAAAAAAAAAAAAAATTAGTTATTTTACTAATTAGTTAATTACTCTGCTCTGGTTTTCTGTTGTTGTTCTGTTGCTAAGAACAATATTTCCAGTATCCAAACTGGATACAAATTCTTAGCATCTTTTCCTGCTGATCCGTGCAGTGACTTTAATTGATTAATTGGTTTAATTAACAAGTGAGTTGATGACCCACTCTGGGAAGCTGATTCCACTGAGATAATAGAAGAAATTAGGCCTGGCACATTGGTGCAGGCCTGTAGTCCCAGCACTCTGGCAGAGGCAGTTGAGTCACTGTGAGTTCCAGGCCAGCTTGTCCTATAAAGCCAGTCCAGGACAGCTAAGGCTACACAGAGAAACCCCGTCTAGAAAAGAACAAAGAGGAGGAGAAAGAGAAAGAGGAGAAGAAGAAGAAGAAATTTTATGGGTTCCTCTTCTGTTTTCTTCTTGCCCCTCCCCTCTCTTTCTGTTCTCACTTCAGCAAGTGGAGGAATGATCTTCCCTCTTTGGGGAAAGGAAGATATTGCCTTAGTTAACTATTCTATTGCTGTGAAGAGACACCATGACCACAGCAACTCTTATAAAGGAAGCATTCAATTTGTGGCTGGCTTACAGTCTCGGAGGTTTAGTTTATTATTATCATGGCAGCATGCAGGCAGACATGGTGCTGGAGAAACAGCTGAGAGTTCTACCTCTACAGCAGCAGGGAGCAGGAAGTGAGAAGACACTGGGCCTCGCTTGAGGTTTTGAAGTCTCAAAGCCAACCCCCAGTGACACACTATCTCCAATAGGCACACCTACTCCCATAAGGCCATGCTTCCTGATCACTTGAAAGCATCCCACTTCCACTAAACACTGACACGTATAAGCCTATGTATTCAAGCCACTGTCTTCCAGACCCCAGAGCTGTGGAGGCTGCTTTCACTGCTCTTTCCCCCTCTTCGTCACAACTCAGCTCGTCAGTGGTCGAGCTGGGCCCAGAGTCCAGTTGTACCAGGCCTCTGTTTGTCCTCCTCTGCTGTGCCTACCCTGTCTTCTGGCTCTTTCTTTCAAGGCTCCCTCCTTATGGCCATTTTTCTCTCTATAACTTGTCTTTTATTTTAACTTCCTGGTGAAACCTCAGTAGGTCTGGCTCCACCTTTTGATGTTCAAATCTAATATGTCTACTAAGCTCTGACTGGCGTCAACGTCAACGGGAAGCAACTGAGGAGTTGGTGAAGTTCCACTTGATCATGTTATATATCTCTAGGCAAGGAGTCCAGACACCTGGGTTCTCTTTAGTGGCCATAAATAGTCCACTTTGAGTGTGTGTGTGTGTGTGTGTGTGTGCGCGCGCGCGCAGAATCCAGAGGTCAATGTCAGGTGTCTTCCTCAATTATTTTCTAACTTTTTGTTCCTGACAAAGTCTTTCACTAAACCTGGTATCACTAGTCAACTAGTGGAACCAGCCAGCCAGTGACCTGTGTCAACCTGCCCTCTATACTAGGGTCAGCTTTTTACTGCTGGAGATAAGACATCAGGTCCTCACATTTCTACAGCAAGCCCTTCAGCCCCTGAGCAATCTCCTCAGCCCCTGAGCAAGCTCTATAAGAGAAGCCCTGCCCTGACAATAAGCAACTTCAGTCTTTGCTTCCCTTTGATTGTTTCCATTCTGTTGCTTTCTTAGGATGAACACTAGCCTCGTGGGAAGAAGAGAAAAATAGTGCAATCATATTTGGCATTCCTATTTGGAAAAGAAATCTACTGAGAATAAGAAAAGTGGAAGGCTTTGACTCACAAGTAAGTATACTACAAACAACACCTGTGCGGTTATATATATTGATGGCATCAAATTGAAACGCAATTCATGCTTTTATTTATCTGTGGGAGTCTTTTTTTTTCTTCTTTGAGACAGGGTTTCTCTGTGTAGCCTGCCTCTGCCTCCAGAGTGCTGGAATCAAAGGCATGTGCTGCCACACCTGGCCCTGATTTTTTGGTTTTGTTTTTTGTATTGACTGGTGGGATTTTTAAATACTCTTAAAAAAAGAGATTTATTTATTTATTATGTATACAGTGTTCTGCCTTCATGTATGCCTGCTCACCAGAAGAGGACACCAGATATCATTATAGATGGCTGTGAGCCACCATGTGGTTGCTGGAAATTGAACTCAGGACCTCGGGAAGAGCAACCAGTGCTCTTAACCGCTGAGCCATCTCTCCAGCCCCCAATTAAATAGTCTTATATTGTCTTGATAATTCATTAAAATATGGCAAGCCTATGAAAAAAGGCAGATGATAGATGGGGCAAGACCATCATAAAAAATGAGTAGGTGGTACTTTAAACTGTTCATTCTGGCCACCTGCTCAGTCATAATCTTCCATCCATATTTCAGAAAACTGTGTCCAATCACCTCAGAGAAATGGTGAAGACCCAACTGGTACCCAAATTAACTGTTTCCATCTTGATGCCAGTGTTGACCGGTGGTATCTGGTGTAGTTGCCACTAGCCACTTGTGGGTATTTATCTGCGAATTTAAACTTAAAACTTTAATTAGTGTAAAACTCAGTTGCACATGAGGGTGTAGTATTGTCTACCCATGGTCCTAGCACTTGGGAACTGAGGAAGTGGGGTCATGAGTCAACCTGGAATATATAACAAGATGCCGCAAACCAACCAACTAACCAAACAAACAAACAAACAAAACATGAAACAAACCCAAGCAAAATTCAATTACATACTCCTTCTCATCCCACAGCCAGTGCTCAGGGACCATGTGCGACTAAGGGCCCTCACACTGGAGAACACAAATAAGAACATGGCTGTCAGTGCACAGTGGTCCGCTGGAAAGTGCAAATCTAGATGCAAACATTCTAAAAAATAAATAATTAACGAACAGGCTTCACGTGTGTTAAAAAAGAGCAGAAGAGCTGGGCATGTGGGGCGAGCCTTTAATCCCAGCACTCAGGAGACAGAGGCAGGCCAATCTCTGTTAGTTTGAGGTCAGCCCAGTCTAGAAAACGAGCTCCAGGATGGCCAAGACTACCCAGAGAAACCTTATCTCAAAAATAAATAAATAAGTAAACAAACAAACAAATAAAAGAACATCTTTAGTTATATAACATAGAAGTAACTATCCATGTATTAGTTATAAGCATGGTTAATTATGATGGTGTCTTACAGACCCATAGTTAAGTCATACAGAATGGAGATAATCCATACCTAGTAACACAGTTTTAGATATAGAATATCATAGTACACATATGCTTGTATAATATACTTTTTAAACATTAAAACACACACACATATAGTTTAAACAACTTACTTTTTTTGGGGGGGAGGGTTTTTCTATGTAGCCTTGGCTGTCCTAGATTTGCTTTGTAGTTCAGGCTGACCTTGAATTCACAGAGGTTTCACCTGCCTCTGCCTCCCAGAGTGCTGGGCCTAAATGCCGGCACCACCTTGCCTGGCACTTTTTTCTTTTCTTCCCTTCCTTTCCCTTACCTTTTGTTTTATTTTCTAAAGGTGTGAGCCACCCAGCATTTTTCTTTTTTTTTTTTCTTTCCTTTCCTTTTCTTTTCGTCTCTTCCCTTCTATTTTCTTTTCTTTTCTGAGAAGGGCCCTTTTATGAATTTCTGGCTATCCTGGAACTCACTACGTAGACCAGGTTGGCCTCTGCCTGCTGAGTGCTAGTATGAAAGGCATGTGCCACCATGCCTTTGATGACCACCATACCCAGCCCATCATTTTTTAATATCAAAAAAATTTAAAGATTTATTTATTCTGTATGCAACTATCTGTCTGCATGTGTGCCTGCATGTCAGAAGAAGGCATCCGCTCTCAGCATAGATGGTTGTGAGCTAGAATGTGGTTGCTGGGAATTGAACTCAGGACCTCTAGAAGAGCAGCCAGTACTCTTGACGTCTGAGCCATCGCTCCAGCATCAATATCACAACATTTTTAAGTACTAAGAGAAGTCTTCATTTTAAAGTGGGAAGATATCTAGCCTCAGAGGCGGTCCATATGAATGGGTACGGGTCTGCAGGCCTTTCTGAGACTTATATGTCTTCTGCTGTAAAATGAACATCACAGGTAAACACAGGTAGTAATTATCTTCATAGGAAAGATTCGGAAGCCAAGAATACAGAGGAAACCCTAGAGGGAGAGCAATGGGGCTCTCTCACAGAACTGTGGTGTTCTGCTGAGGTTAGCCCTGGGGATCTACAATAGTGACAAAGGGGGAGCAGGAGAAAGGCCCCAGAGGAAGCCAGCAGTAGCCCACTGTACAAAGAGAACATGCAGACTGAGCGTATGAGACAGGGAGACCTGCCTCTGAGCTGCCAGAGAGATGCTGTCCTACAGTACCTGGACACAGTTTTGTCCGAATTTGAGAGTTAGGCCCAGAACTGGGGCTGTGGGTCAGTGGCAGAGAGTTTGCCTCCTGTGCATGAAGTTGGAGGTCAATCTCCAGTTCTGGCAAACCAAATCAAACCAAAGCAAAACAAAAAATAGATTAAGACACTGCAGAGGAAGAAAATAAATAAATAAATAGATAGATAGATAGATAGATAGATAGATAAATAAATAAATAAATACATAAATGAATAAATAAATAAATAAATAGAATGTATTAGCCTCCCTAGACACTAGGAGAAATGAGAGCTTGGACTTAACACCATGTAATACTTTGTAGAGCTCTTTTTCAGAAAAGACTTAAGCTTGTGAGAGTTAAAACACCTCCTTTGAGTTGTGACTGGAAGGGAAGAAATGAACATTGTAACTAGCATGTTGACATATTACTTTGTATTCAATGGAGTATATAAGCTCTACCTGCTCCCTAGGTTTCAGAGTATGTGCCATAGTTGGTTCTCATTGGTGAAATGTTGAATTATAAGATTTTTTTGTTAGCCAGTTAACATATATGCTTATCTCGAAACTAGCCATGGCAGAAATGGTGAATCCCTTATGGGGCTCAGTAAATGCTATAAAAAGAGATATTCTGTTCCCAAAGTGCCAGTCTGTTACATAGTTGCCAGTTTTTCTAACTGATTCAGAGAGAGTTGCCAAAGGTTACAAATGGAAACAATTGGCAGATCCTACCTATTGCATTAACTTTACCTGGGGGAAATGTGAACAAATATCTAGTCCCCCAGACAAAGCTCCAGTAAGAGACTAAAGTCCATCTAGTTTGTTGAACCAGTAGGTTTGCTGGTCTTACTTGTCAGAGCCCAGGTAACCACGAGGCGTCCACATCTCTGTGAAGCCCTACATCAGCATGGATGGTGATTCTCTGTCTGTGTAGGTATAGATGGAGTCCCCCCACCCCACCCCCCGTTAGTCTTCCACCCTCTAGCCTAGCACCTCCAAAGTCAGTGTGAAGTTGAGGCAGGATGGCTGGGAGGGAGACACGGGAACAGAGTAGCTGGACTCCCAGGTGAGGACCTAATGGTTCCCCCAACTCCTCCTCCTAAGGGAGAATGTTGACAGGTGCAATATTGTAAGGAAGGGTCTCTTGCTGGAGGAAGATGATAATGGCTCTTCTGCTTGGAGGCTAGGGCTGTTCATTACTTCAAAGTCCATGCTTGCACTACTGCGACTTCACCAGGGTTTCTTTTCTTTTTCTTTCTTCTTTCTCTTCTTGTTCTCCTTGTTCTTGGTCTTGGTCTTCTTCTTGTTGTTCCTCCTCCTTGTCTTCCTCCTCCTTCTTGTCTCACTATGTAGCCCTGGCTGCCCTGGAACTCACTTATGCAGACCATGCTGGCCTCACACTCACAGAGATCCTCCTACCTCTGCCTCTTGATTCTGAGATTAAAAATGGGTGCCATCACACCTGACACTCACTAGAGACTTTCATATCAGTGGACAAAGTTCCCCACCTTTTCATCACCAAAGCAAAATCATCTTGCTCACTGACTAAAGTTAGGACTGTAGAGTTTCGCAGAGACCTTCTCGAGGGCCTGATAGTCAAGCATTTGGCATCTTCATAGTTCAAGATGGGTCTGAGGTGGAAAAAAAAGGCCACCCTGATTATATATATGTATATATATATATATATATATATATATATATATATATACACAAAATAAATAAATGAACAAATAAACAAGTATTTACTCCCTTCCCCTTCAGTGAACTTTGTGAAGGAAAACAGTCCAGCCCTCATTCAAAGGATGGGCATTACAGTTATAAAGCAGATCTCTGATGATCTGTTCACATCAAATGTCCTCAACTCTGAAGAAGTTGCCGTCATCCGCAGTGAGAGGGTGGAGCAGGACGCTGCCCGATGGATCATTCATATGATTTTGAAGAAGGGCTCAGAGGCCTGCAACCTCTTTCTTAAGTGTCTTGAAAATTGGAACCCTGCCCTGTATCATGACTTAACTGGACAAAGTAAGTATTGCTTTGCTCACCTTTGTCCCACCGAAAGGAATCAGCCCTTGGGACCACCCACAGTCCCCTCCATTGAACTTCTTCGTGTTGCTGGCCAGGGCCTTTGAGCCATTCCCAGTAGACACTTGACAGTGAAATCACATAAGTAACCTCAGAGCTGGGCAAGAAATGAGTAAGCATAGTCTCCCTTCAAAGCACCACTGGAATGATAGGAGAGATAGCATTGGCTACCACAGGAGTTTGGGGAAACTGAGGCAGGTGGATGGAGAGATTAAAGTCAGCCTGGGCTATATATGAAAATGCTGTTTTTTAAAAAATGATTAAGTAGAACACAAATAGACTACACAGACAATCTTTGGTCGGTCATCTGTGGGTGAATGCCAACTACTTATCTCACAATGCAGTACCATGGAAAGGTACTCTGCTTTCCACACCAGAGTAATTTCATCATCATCATCATCATCATCATCATCATCATCATCATCGTCGTCATCATCGTCATCATCATCAGGCTATGCCTCCAATTCGTCATTTTAATTATTTTAAATGAATAAATTGTGTAATTGGCTGAGATCTATCCCATCCCACATTCTCAGCCAATTCTTTCACTTTCCTTAACGATTAGAAGGCTTCTCTCACTTCCAATCTGCTGACATAAGATTTGATGGCAAGAAAAACAAGAGAAAGTAAAAAAGAGGAAATAAGGGGAAAGGGTCACAGGGGAAATCAGTGGCTGCTGTGGTATCTTAGAACTAGGGAAGGAAGTCAAAGTCGCCCCCAGATGATTCTCAGGACCTGTGTGGCGCATCTCCCTGAGCCCTGGGTCCGAGCAGGTGCAGAATCAATTATGCTCTTTATAGCATCACCTTTTCTCTAACAGGTCTCTCCCATCAGAACGCGGAAGAAGACTTGGAAATTCTGGCCCAGAATTTAAAAGGCTTCTACAGCAGCCCTTCCTTTCTGAACTTCTATCCCCTGGGTAACGATATCGACATCATTTTTAATCTGAAGATCACCTTCACAGAGCCCGTCTTGTGGAGGAAGGACCATCGCCATCACCGCGTGGAGCAGCTGACCCTGGACGATCTGCTGGAGGCTCTTCAGAGCCCCTGCCTCGTCGAAGGGGAGTCTGGCAAAGGGAAGTCCACCCTGCTGCAGAGAATCGCCATGCTCTGGGCCTCTGGGGAGTGCAGGGCTCTGAGAAGCTTCAAACTGGTCTTCTTTGTCCGCCTGAGCAGTGCCCGGGATGGACTGTTTGAAACCCTGTGCGATCAGCTCCTGAATGTGTCTGACTCCTTCAGCAAGCCAGCCTTTATGGCTCTGCTGCTGAAGCTGCAGAAGGACGTCCTCTTTCTCCTCGATGGGTACAACGAATTCCAGCCCCAGAACTGCCCAGAAATCGAAACTCTAATAAAGGAAAACCATCGTTTCAAGAACATGGTCATTGTCACCACCACCACCGAGTGCCTGAGACATATCAGACAGGTTGGCGCCCTGACTGCAGAGGTGGGAGATATGACGGAAGGTGGTGCGCAGGTTCTCATCCGGGAGATGCTGATAAGGGAGCTTGCTGAAGGCCTGTTGTTCCAGATCCAGGAGTCCAGGTGCTTGAGAAACCTCATGAAGACCCCTCTCTTCGTGGTGATCACCTGTGCCATCCAGATGGGCAGAGAGGAATTCCAAGCTCACACGCAAACCATGCTGTTCCGAACCTTCTACGACCTCCTGATACAGAAAAACAGGCACAAGCACAGAGGTGGGACAGAGTGTGACTTTGTCAGGAGCCTAGAGTGCTGTGGAGACCTAGCCCTGGAGGGCGTGTTCTCCCATAAGTTTGATTTTGAGCCCGAGGATGTGTCTGGCATAAACGAGGACATCCTGGTGACAACTGGGCTCCTCTGCAAGTACACAGCTCAGAGGCTGAGGCCCAAGTATAAATTCTTCCATAAGTCATTCCAGGAGTACACAGCGGGACGGAGACTCAGCAGTTTGTTGATGTCCAGAGAGCCAGAGGAGGTGAGCAAGGGGAATGACTACTTGAAGAAAATGGTTTCCATCTCTGACATCACATCCCTGTATGGCAACCTGCTCCTGTACACGTGTGGGTCATCCACAGAAGCCACCAGGGCTGTCGTGCGCCACCTTGCATTGGTGTATCAGCATGGCAGCCTACAGGGGCTCTCTGTCTCCAAGAGGCCTCTCTGGAGGCAGGAATCAATGCAAAGCCTGAGAAACACCACGGAGCAAGATGTTCTGAAAGCCATCAATGTAAATTCCTTTGTAGAGTGTGGCATCAATTTATTCTCAGAGAGCATATCCAAATCTGCCCTGAGCCCAGAATTTGAAGCTTTCTTTAGCGGTAAAAGTTTATACATCAACTCGGAGAACATCCCTGATTACTTATTTGACTTCTTTGAACACTTGCCTAATTGTGCAAGCGCGTTGGACTTCGTTAAGCTGGATTTCTTTGGAAAAGCTGCAGCCTCACAGGCTGGAGAGAATGAGGCCAGAGCCCACATGGAAGGGCCCTCAGAAACCTACATTCCCAGCAGGGCTGTGTCTTTGTTCTTCAACTGGAAGCAGGAATTCAAGACTCTAGAGGTCACGCTCCGGGATATCAGCAAGTTGAATAAACAAGATATCAAACATCTGGGGAAGATCTTCAGCTCTGCCACAAACCTCCGTTTGTACATCAAGAGGTGTGCTGCTGTGGATGGAAGGCTCAGCTCCATCCTCAGCACCTGCAAGAACATTCATTCCCTCATGGTGGAAGCCAGTCCCCTCACCGTCGATGATGAGCAGTGCATCACATCCGTGACAAACCTCCAGAACCTGAGCATCCACCAGCTGCAGACTCAACGGCTGCCAGGTGTGGCCATAGCCAAGTATGCTATCAAGACCTGTGCAAGTGCTAGATGGGACTGAGGCTTTTGGCAATATTTCTAGCGCATTTTACCTTCTGGGTGTGTCACTGAGCCTACCTACCATCTCTGTATTTCCTCTGTCCTTCCTCATTTCAGCTCCCTTGGCTATCTGTGGTTCCTGCCCCCAGTCACTCAGTGGAACTTTTCAGCTGCCACAGATTTACTTGTTTTCTGTTTTATCTCTCCTTTCCTCTCCTCTCCTCTCCTCTCTTCCCCTTCCTTTCCCTATCCCCTCTCCCCCACTATTCCCTTCCCTTCCTTCTCACAGATAGCCCAGGATGGCCTCACATTCACCGTAATCCTTCTGCTTCAGTCTGGCAAATGCTGGGATTGTAGATGTGAGCACCACAGCCAGCTACCTTTTATCCGTCTGTTTACTTCTATTATATTTGAACATTACGCTTATAGCTGAGTGCAATACCCATTTTTGACAAAATAACTCTTGAAGGATTTCTGCAAGCATCACCACTGGTGGGGAAGTGAACCACAAAGATAGATAAGAGAGAAAACCTGGAACAGTGACATTTTTGCAGATCAAGACATCTAGAGACTGACCCTGTGGTTTACTTCCCTTACACATTTAAACATAGTAGAACTTGTAACCTGTGACCTTTACAATAAGCAATAATTCTATTGGCTGATAAACAGAGCTCAGGGAAGGATCGATGGTAAGCACAAGGGTAGATCGATTCTGTCAGTGGACGATGCAGAGTCCATGGGCCTCTTTCACAGGGATGTGCTCTATTCACTGAAGAGACAGAGCTCAGGATTAGGGCCTAAGCAATGCTCAGGACATTAAGGGATTCAGGAAGCCTGGCCCATAGAATAGCAAAAAGATCACCAGGTTGATTGGGCACTTTTCACTCTGGCATTCCAGGTGACTAGGCGCCCCTCATTTCCTTTCTTTGAAGAAAACTCGCCCACATGATTGATGATCCTGAGTTCTCCAAGGCTTCTTCTGAGCTGTGCTTCCTACAGATAACTACCTTCCTGTGAATTCCCTGAGCACTCTCTGCACTTTGTGATAACTGAAACCTCCCAGTTGGTAATGGGAATGACAATGACCTAAACAATGATAGCACAAGGGAGGTGATCTGCTCCTCTGCTTTCTTCCGGCAGGCGGTCTGACAGACAGCTTGGGTAATCTGAAGAACCTCGAGAAGCTCATACTGGACAACATTGGGATGAACGAGGAAGATGCTAAAAACCTAGGTCAGATGTTTGTTTCTTTAATATACTTATTATTGCAGGTATGATGATAAGACTGGTTAGCTTAAGATCATTTTGCCACATCTGTAGAAGGCAAGATCCTTGTGTGTGTGAAAGAGGAAGGGGGCATGTTCATGGCATGGTCCACAGGTAGAGGTGTGGTGGTTCGAATATGAACAGCCTCAGCAGGCTCATATATTTGAATGAATAAATCCCCACAGAGTAGAACTCTTTGAAAGGATTAGAAGGATTAAGAAATGTGCCTTTGGGCTGGAGAGATGGCTCATCAGTTAGCAACATTGACTGTTCTTCCAGAAGTCCTGAGGTCAAGTCCCAGCAACCACATGGTATCTTACAACCACCTATAACGTGACCTAATGCTCTCTTCTGGCATGCAGGTGTGTATGCAGATAGAGCGCTCATAAACATAAATAAATAAATCTAAAAAAAAGAAATATAGCTTTGTTGGGATAGATGTGGCTGAGTTGGAGGAAGTTTGTCACCGGGGGTTGGCACCACAGAATGCTGTTGTTCACAGCAACAGAGCACTGACTAAGGCCGGTCAAAGGATAACTTCAGCTTCTGTCTTCGCCTTCCACCTTATTTGCGGCAGGGTCTTTTGTTGTCTGTTGCTGTACTCTGTTTAAGCAGCTTGGTGGCCCACAAGCTCCTGGGGATTCCCTGGTCTCCACCTCCCATTGACTTTAGGAACACCGGGATTAGAGATGCCAGCTAGATGCTTGACCTTCCATGAGTCCTGAGGATCTGAACCTAGCTCTTTGTGCAGGTGTTGTGTGCACTCACCGAGCATCTCCCCAGCCCCAGCGATCTAGTTTATGAACTTGTGGCCACCTTGGTTTCTTGGGGCGCTCTCCTTCTGCTATGACAAGCCTTCAGCAAAACTCCATTCAAGCTTTACCCCTTATATGCGTGATCTTTCTTAGAGGGGAAGTCATCACATGCTCAGTTTCCCTTTCTCTGGATGATTTAAAAGCTCAGAGTTGTTTCATTAGTAAAACTTTAAAAGAGAAATGAGATACAGGAAAGTGTGAGCCCAGGAACAAAAGCAGAACTCATGGGTTGCCACAGAGCCCAGGCCAGGGAGGGCTGACTGGAAGCCACCTTTTGGCAATGTCTCTGCTTTTCTTTCTCTCTCTTTTTTTTTCTTATTCTTATGTTTACTCTTTTGCTCTCTTTCCCCTCCTAAGCCCTCCCTAAAATGCTCCTCTTTTTATTTAGCATTGTTCTTCACTTTACTTCCTTCCCAAATATAACTAAATGCAATAATTAAAATGTGCCTGAGCTCTTTTTCTTTATATGATTATCAAATTAATTTAGAATTCAGTAAGCACACACGTCATACCTATGGGTTCCTTGGAAAGTCATAGCTGGTAAGAGCCTGGGCACAGCTACTTCAATGCATTCATTTGTAGAAACCGGTTCCTAGCATGGTTTGCTGATTTGCCCAAGGTCTCAGGAGTACACCCCACCCCAGGACAATGTGCTTGCATTATTAAAAAATCTAAATGTAGCCAGGTAAACTCCTGTTTTCTCTGCTTCTGGGGGGTGGAAGTGGAAGGATCAGGGGTTTGGCTACAGAGTGAGTTCTAGGCAAACCTGGGCTAAATGTGAAGTCCTCTCAAAAAAAAAAAAGTTCCAGGTCATCCAGGGCTACACAGTAAGACCCTGTCTAAAAACAAAACAAAAAAACAACCAAATAAACAAAAACCAGGGCACATGAGATGGCTCTGAGAATAAAGGCACGTTGCCACCAAACCTGAGTTCAATATCCATGCCCACATGGTAGGGGAGAACTGATGCCTACAAGTTGTCCTGGATCATTCTCTGGCACCATGGCATATATGCTTTCCCACACAAATAAATGGAATACATATTCATTACTATTATTTAGTTTTTTTGATACAGGGTTTCTTTGTGTAGCCTTGGCTGTCCTCGACTCACTTTGTGGATCAGGCTGGCCTCAAACTCACAGATATCTGCCTGCCTCTGCTTCCTTGAGTGCTGGGATTACAGGTGTTTCCCACCATGCCCAGCTACAAGTATTTTTAAATAAAAATAAAATAAGAAATAAAGAATCAAAATCTGATCATGAAATCAATATAGCTGGATGGTGGTGACGCACACCTGTAGTCCCGGAACTTGGGAGGCAGAGGCAGGTGGATCTCTAAGTTTGAGGCCAGCCTGGTCTACAAAGCATGTCCAGGACAGCCAGGGCTAAACAGAGAAACTGTCAAAAAGAAAAGAAATCAGTATAATGATAATGATATTAGTAATAATTACTATGTATTAAAGAGCTGCTGCACACTAGGCCAGAAACTATACCTTTTGGTTTTCACACTTTATCTTAGCAAATCCTCATAGCAGCCCTAGTGTGTAGGACTAATGACCCCCTAAAGCCACAGCTGAAATGTTGAATCACTTGTCCAGGTTTATACAATCATGGAATGCTGAATCTAGAAGTCTAAATGACCACAAAGCTCATGTAAACACCTCCCCTGGAACCAGCATTTACTGTGGGTTTGCAGTGTTATACCTACTGAATGCATCACATACGATACCGGCAGTTTTCCCTGTGCTTCCAGACACAGGGACTGATAAAGCCTGGCTCTGAGGGATGCAGCTCAATGGTAGAGCACTTGCCTAGCATGCACAGGGCCTGGGTTAAAGCTCCAGTGTCAAAGAGGCAGAGAAGAGAGAGACAGACTGTATCCCAAAAGTCACTGTGTGGCCCCTCCACCTGTACCACTGACTCAGGATGGAGATGGATGATTTCAGTTCCGCCTACTCAATCCTAAACTCCAGCGCCAGGGCTAAGAACCAGGGACACTCTATTGCCTTCAACTGTGCCGCTGGTACTTGGGGACACTGACCTCGGCTAGACCTGCCGCCGTGGGTGTTGTAGTCATTGATCTGAAGTCCAGAGCAGGGGTCTCAGAGGCTGTGAAGATGCGCTACCCTTCACAGGGCTGCAGCAGCTGCTGCTCCTCTGGACTCAGCCTCTGGAGGGAAGTGGAAACCAGGAGGGAAAGTGAAAACCAGGAAGACATTTAAAAAAAAAATCAGCTCTTTTGCTGGCTGAATGGCAACTGTCTCCTTACCTAGAAAGCAAAGAAATGCATGAGTGTATTTAAAAAAAAAAAAAAAAAGACCATGAACCAGTTTCTACACAGTTGTCTTCCTTGCATTGCATGAGTCTGTATTTAACCAGATAAACTGGGTCTGCTCATGAATTCCTTTCCCATCTCCTGTAGCGGAAGGCCTGGGAAGCCTGAAGAAGATGCGATTGTTTCATCTGACTCATTTGTCTGACATTGGGAAGGGGATGGATTACATAGTCGAGTCTCTATCGGGGAAACCCTGCGACCTGCAAGAGATGAAGTTGGTGGCCTGCTGTCTGGGTGCAAATTCTGTGAAAACTCTGGGTAAGCATCGGCGTCCTCGCCTCTACTCCCCGGATGCACAACAGAACTTCTGACATGTCTGCGCTAACGTCCGAGTGTCTCATGTGGACATCCACTCTTAAAGGAGACTGGAAAAAACCATGTGGTTCACGTAGAATCTTTTTATTAGCTGTCCTAATCCTTTGAAAACCAGTCTACAGGAGCTAGAAAAAACAGCTCAGAGGTCAGGGCATGCTTCCTGCTCTTGCAGAGGAACTGAGTTTGATGCTTCCTTCTGGCCTCCGTGGGCAGCTGTACTCTCTTGCACATACCCTACCATATAGAAACATACACACACACTTACAAACAAAAATAAAATTTAAAAAGTGCTGGGAATCCATAAAGACAACCTTTTTTTTTTTTTTTTTTTTTTTTAAACAAAGAAGCCTGTGGTTGGAAAAGGCTAGCCCAATGCTGGGGAACATAGAATATGAGAACACGCCTTCAGTTCTCCACTTGCTGGGGCTTCCAAGGGAAAAAGGGCTTAAAAGGGAAAAGAGAAAATATAGATAAAAAGCTTTACCTGGTTTTTGAAATAGGTATTGAACTTTGTTGTATTAAAATCTATTTCACTTTGATACAAGGTGCCATTTTAGTATGGGTATCTCATTTTTTAGGTCCCCAGTGTCTACCCACTCCCTGCCAGTCCAACAGGGGCCTGTGACTGACCCTGTGTGTGTGACCCAGGGTCACAGACACCCTGACCCTGAAGCTGTGTGAGCAAACAGCTCAAGAACTGTGGCAGTTTTTCCCAGTTGTTTGAGACAGACAACAGCTTGAAGGCTGAAACTTGTCTCTTTTCTTTGGTTTTTCAAGACAGGGTTTCTCTGTGTAGCCCTGGCTGTCTTAGACTCACTTTGTAGACTAGGCTGGCCGTGAACTTACAGAGCTCCATCTGCTTCTGCCTCCTGAGTGCTAGGATTAAAGGTGTGAGCCACAACTGTGCCCAGAAGTGAAATTTGTCTCTGAAAAGCTGTGGAAGACAATCTACTCCTTTTAAAATATGTCTAAAATGTCCAAGTGTGATGATGAATGCCTCAATCCCAGCCCTCAGGTGGCAGGGGTGAGTTTCAGAGTTTGAAGCCAGCCAGGACTACATAGTGAGACGAGACCCTATTTTAAACAAACAAACAAACAAACAAACAAACAAACAAACAAACCAAATTCAATAAAGAATAATCTACAATGTCGTGTCTAGAATTATAAGCACTATATTCCATACAGCTTCAGGCTCTGTGTGACCTGGATGGACTAGGAAATATCTGCCTATTTCGTCAAAGCCATGGAAATTGAAGGTTCCACACATCCTACTTCCTTTGAGAAATAATCAAGTCAAATGACAGTGTATATTGCCATCAGCAAAGATAACAAGAATACAGAATTATTAAGATGTTGAAAAATGTATATATGGATACCTGAAAATATTTTTTTTCTTCCAGCAAAGAATCTTCACAATTTGGTCACACTGAGTGTTCTTGATTTATCAGAAAATTATCTGGAAAAAGATGGAAATGAAGCTCTACAGGAACTGAGTAAGAACGAGGGCTTTGCTCAAACATCTACTTTTCATTATGTATGCTTGGTGACTAGGCCACCACAGCCTGAGCCACGGCCTCTGTACCCATGTGGACCTTACTGCCTCATCTTTCTTAAAATGCCATTAAAGGACAGAGGCCCAAGCTGGGTGTGGTGGTGCATGCCTGTGATCCCAGCACTCAGGGAGGCAGAGGCAGGAAGATTGCTGTGAGTTTGAGGACAACCTGGTCTATAAAGTACTATAGAGTACTTGATGCCATTGCAGAGGACCAGAATTTGGTTTTCAGCATCTACATGACAGCTCACAAATATCTGTAACTCTGGTTCCAGGGAATCTGATGTCTTCTTCTGGCCTTTGTGGGTACCAGGCACACATGGGTACACATGCATAAGTGCAGGTAAAATACTCACATACAAAAATTATTTTCAAAATTATGTGTGTGTGTATACAGGAGGTATGTACACATGCTTGCAGAAGCCAGAAGAGAGGACTGGATCTCCTGGAGCTGTAGTTACAGGCATGGAGTCACTGGGTATGGGTACTGGGAATGGAAATCAGGCTCTCTACAAGAATAGTACATGTTCTGAACTGTTGAGCCATTTCCACAAGCCCCACCTTGTGTCTTTTGAGCTATCAGCTTGTATATCTTTATTATACCTGAGGCTTCTCCTGTGTGCCAACAGCAAGGAAGTCAGTGTTTGATGCTGAAGATAAATTTGCTTAAGCAGTAAGTGATAAGGTTTTTCTATCCCCAGGCTCATAGGATTGGTCTGTACACATACTGTATCAACTTATCCATCCAGGGACTGTACTGTTCTTTTTTTTTTTTTTTAAGATTTATTCATTTATTTTATGTATATGAGTGCTCTGTTTTCATACACACCGGAAGAGGGAAGCAGATCTTACTATAGATGGTTGTGAGCCACCATGTGGTTGTTGGGAATTGAACTCAGGACCTCTGGAGGAGCATTAGCAGCCAATGTTCTTAACTGCTAAGCCATCTCTGCAGCCCTGGTCTGCACTGTTTTTATGCTGTCTGATGGCAGCATGGGACTATGCGTGAGCTCTCAGATGGGTGAAACATTTGGAGATTTTTTTAAAAAGCTTATTTAACTCTGCAGCCTGGAACTCTCTAAGCAGACAGGGTGTCCTTGAAATGACACAGATCCATCTGCCTCTGCCTATTGAATACTGGTATCAGAAAGATTTTTATTCTGATCATTTTGTTACAGGAAAACGAGGCAGGGAAGCCACCATGCTTAAACAGGCACCAGAAATGCGGTGGAAGATCAGGAAGGCTTATTACGACAGGGAGTTCATAATAAGTGGAGTTCCCTTCATGACTCTGAGGAACTAATTGTACAGGATTATAGGCTTTTCAGCATTTGTTTGTGTGTTTTTCAAGATGGTTTCTCTGGATAGCCTTGGCTGTCCTGTACTTGCTTTGTAGCCGAGGCTGGCCTGGAACTCACAGCAATTGGCTGCCTCTGCCTCCCAGAGTGCTGGGATTACAGGCATCCTACACCACGCCTGGCTCAGCATTGTTTTTAACTGTTATATCATTGGTGGGCTTAAGTTTCTATCAAAGCCACATGGCAAAGACTAACACAAGAAATTCAAGATGGGAGTGGTGGTGTACTCTTTTGACCCCAGCACTTGACTAGATAGGCAGATCTCTCTAAATTTGAAGCCAGCCCTGGTCTACACTGTCAGAGAAAAGAGAGGGGTGAGGTGGGGATTAAGACAATTTTCATTTTATAAAACAGGGTAACTGTAGGCAGCTGTTTTTGTTTTTTTGCTGTTGTTTTGTTTTGTGGACCAGGTTGTCCCGGAACTCACAGAGATCTGCCTGCCTCTGCCTCTCAGAGTGCTGGGATTAGACCACTGCAAGCACGACCCTGCTAGCTAACAAGCAGCTGTTTTACCAGATAACTAAGTAGCCACTTCTCCCCACTTGGTTCTTGCAGTTCTGTTTCCTCTTTAGACAGGATTTCTCTGCACATCCCTGGCTGTCCTGGAACTCTGTAGGCCAGGCTGACCTTGAAATCAGAGATCCGAATGCCTCTGCCTGTACTGGGATTAAAGGCCTGATTTACTTCCTCTTTCAATTTCACTGGAGTGATAAAATTCTTAAAGAGTTATACAGACAAATGGTTTTGACCAAATGACTGATATATGTGTGGAATTCACTACAGAAAAATACAGAGGTCTGGTCAGGCTAAGCAATCTATGATTTGTTGCTTATTGAAGATTGGATAATAGTAATAATGAAATTATTACTACAGTGTTTATGTATTTGAATATTTTCTATAAAAATAACCCAAAAAAAGAGTAGATTCTCATGAAAGATTTAAGTACCCCGAAGAGCCCCCAAATGTGAAAGCCACCCCTTCATCCGCATCCTGCATAGACTTTGGGTTGGTATCAGTCCTGAGTTGTTTTCTGTTTAAGTTGGCAGGCTCAGCATTCTGGAAAAGCTAACCACTTTGATGCTGCCTTGGTGCTGGGATGCGCACATCACCCTGCCCAGCCTGCTGAAGGAATTAAATGGGGACCCAGGGCTTGGCAAGCTTGGATTGAAAAACTGGAGACTCACAGACACAGAGATTAGATGTTTAGGTAGGTACACCTAAACAGAGCCAAGAGCACATAGGCTGATTCTAATCTAATCTGTCTGTCTCTTTTCTGCACAGGGTCTCTTTGTGCAGCTCTGGCTCTCCTGGACTCCCTCTTTACTGGCCTGAACTCACAGAGATCTGCCTGCCTCTGCCTCCCCAAGTGCTGGGATTATAAATGTATGGCACCATTGGTCCTTTAATCTCGGTACTTGGGAGGCTGAGGCAGCCAGAGCTCTGTCTTTATTCTGAGCCATCCTCCAGGCCTTCTTTCTTA